ATTGCAATCCTGAACTCTACCGTCCTTTTTTTCGCATTTTATAAATTTTCTACCTTTCCTCCGTTTTGTGCCATAGTGCCACATTATTCCGCTTGTCGGTGCATGTTATTATTTTGCCATGATGCATATTTTTTTCTCCAGCACAACCCCTCAGGATCAGAATCACCTGAGTTCCGTGGTTGAGGGTGACTTGTAAGGTCCCAGGCCACAATGACGACGATAGTTCCGTTATGGTAGGTTTGGGAAATGTTTTTGTTGATTGTCTCTGGCGAAACAAATGAGCGTTTGACATTGTTTCAAGTTGTCTCTGTCTTGTCACCAAGCTGATATTTTCGACTGATAATGGGTTGGCAGTTTTAAATAACCAGGTGAGTAGATACTGGTGGGAAGTTACAGTTTGAATGATCATTATCACAATTTAGGGAAAAGAGGGTGATAAGGTACATATGACAGAACGTTGTTGGGATGGTGGTTGGGACCGATACTCGTTGCATTATTTACGCAGGTCTACGATGCAGTTTCTTTTTATCATTTTATAAAACATGAAATATATATCCTGATGGCGTTTTAGTGGATTATCTGCATAAAGAAAAAAAGGCGGATTAGTAATTTCCATTTAATTCCACTACCTTATTTGCTTATCCTTGACAGATTCGCGTATTTCGTCTACAATGTAATTTTTTTGTTTAAAAAAATATTTACTGAATGGTTCAGAATTTAATTTTGTACTACTACTCGACTGAAGAAAATCATCTCATTTTACGGAATATATTTTAACCCAGGTTCATTTTCACTTAGAAGCTTAGAAGGTAAACTTAAATTTAATTTCCTGTAGGAGCAGTTGAGCTTACTCGTTGATGTGTCCTAGGTAGTAACTTGTGTCCATTTCCTTGATCCCTGATGAGTAAAGTTGAATTCCGTTGTTTGTTGATCTCGAGGCTCTCTGCAACATGCAATTTCCATGGTGTAGATACGGTTCGTAAAATCGTGATGTCGTCCGTCGATAGTTGGTGGTCCTCTGTGAAGATGTTTTCTGCAACCTTTGATTTGAAATCATATGTTAGGCCTTTTTCCTCTTGCTTTTTGGCCTTAATAACCTCCGCTATATGTTCTTTAAATCTAGTTGCTAAAGTTATCTTGGTTTGTCCTACGTATAATTTGTTACAATGATTTCAGAGTTACCTAAAACATTAACTGGGTTTTTAGTGGATCCTAACAATGATTTTAACTGGTTATGTCTACTGGTGAAAACTAAATCGAAATGGATTGTGGTCTCCTTGTATCCGTTGAGTCTCGCTGTACTGTAATTCCTTAACCTTTCCTGTATCGCTCAGTGGAAGAGTCTGCATTCGATGAATCCTGTGGTGGAAGACGGTTATTTTCTGCTGGAACGAATGGTTGGAAGTATAGGGGATAACTCTTTTGGTGCTTGTTGCTTCCTTACTTACTTATCCTGGTCCGACATCCCTCAGGATTGCACCTGCATCACAATGTTACGCCAGTTCACTCGGTCCGTGGCTGCCTGTCTCCAATTTCTTGACCGTCCCACACTTCCAAGATACTGCTCCACTTGGTCTAACCACCTTGCTCGCTGTGCTCCTCTTCGTCTTGTACCGGCCGGGTTCGAAGCAAACACCATTTTTGCGAGATTGTTGTCCGGCATTCTTAAAACGTGTCCCGCCCATCGTACCCGTCCAGCTTTCGCAACTTTCTGGATACAGGGTTCGCCACAGAGTTGCGCCAGCTCGTGGTTCATCCTTCGCCTCCATACACCGTTCTCACATACCCCGCCAAAGATGGTCCTAAGCACTCGTCGTTCGAAAACACCCAGTTCTTGCAGGTTCTCTTCGAGCATCGTCCACGTCTCGAGCGGTCTATCGGTCTTATCAGCGTCTTGTACATGGTACATTTAGTACGGAGGTGAAGTTTACCCGACCTCAGGGTCTTGTGGAGTCCGTAGTAAGCACGACTTCCGGCAATAATACGCCGACGAATTTCTCTGCTGCAGTTGTTATACAACGTCACCAATGATCCGAGGTACAACAATTCATCCACCACCTCGAACTCATCTCCGTCGATTGTCACGCTTCTGCCTAGGCAAGCCCTATCCCGCTCGGTTCCGCCAGCTAACAGATACATTGTCTTCGACGTATTCACCTTTAATCCAACCTTCTCTGCTTCACGTTTCAGCCTGGTGTACTGCTCCGCCACGGCCTGAAACGTTCTTCCGACAATGTCCACGTCGTCAGCGAAGCAGATGAACTGGCTGGACTTTTTGAAGATCCTTCCCCGCATGTTAAAGCCCGCACGTTTCATAACACCTTCTAGCGCAATGTTGAACAGGAGGCAGTAAAGAGCCTTGTCGAAGTCCTTTGCGAGATTCAAACGAGTCCGATAACGCACCCGATATCTTCACGCAGCACTGTACACCATCCATCGTAGCCCTGATCAGTCAGCTTCCCGGGAAAACCGTTCTCGTCCATAATCTTCCATAGCTCTTCACGGTTAAAAGTATCATAAGCGGCCTTGAAATCGATAAATAGGTGGTGCGTAGGGACTTGATATTCACGACACTTTTGGAGGATCTGCCGCAACGTAAAGATTTGGTCCGTTTTCGATCGCCCGTCCACAAAACCGGCTTGACAACTTCCCACAAATCTGCTTGCTAGCGGCGATAAACGACGAAAGATGATCTGGGAAGGCACTTTGTAGGCCGCATTAAGAATAGTGGTCGCTCGATAGTTTCTCATATTCTAGTTTGTCTTTCCACTCCTCCGGTAGCTGTTCTGTATCCCAGATCCTGACTATCAGTCGGTGCAGACAAGTGGCCAACTTATCCGGGCCCATGTTGATAAGTTCCACTCCGATACCATCTTTTCCAGCTGCTTTGTTGTTCTTAAGCTGTCGGATAGCATCCTTAACTTCACCTATCGTGGGAGCTGGCATGTCTCTCTCATCCACTGTACCGACGAAGCCATTCCTCCTGCCGCCTTGGTCCTCCGCCTCTGCACTGTTCAGATGATCATCGTAGTGCTGCTTCCACCTTTCAATCACCTCACTTTTTTCCGTTAAAATACCCCCTTCCTTATCCCGACACATTTCGGCTCGCGGCACAAACTTGCTGCTCCATTTTTTCGCACTCCAGCTCTTCCAGGCGGCGCTTCTTATCCCGGAAAACATGGGTTTGCTGTCTTCGCTTCTGTTTATATCGAACCACATTATGACGGGTTCCTTGCTGTAGCATCGCCGTCCGCGCTGCGTTCTTCTCGTCCAAAACCGTCTGACACTCTTCGTCGAACCAATCGTTCTGTCGATTCCCCTCCACTAACCCAACGGCGCCTTCAGCAGCGCTGTTAATGGCTGCTTTCACGTTGCTCCAGCAGTCCTCAAGAGGGGCTTCGGTGTGCTCTCCCTCATCTGGCAACGCTGCGTCGAGGCATTGCACGTACTTCGGGCCGCTTCAGTCGCTCCAGATTGTACCGTGGCGGGCGTCGGTACCGAATGTTGTTGGTAACGGAAAGTTTTTGGCGCATCTTGACCATTAGAAGGTAGTGGTCCGAATCGATATTTGCGCCGCGATAGGTCCTACCGTCGATAATGTCCGAGAAGTGCCTTCCGTCGATCAAAACGTGGTCGATTTGCGATTCTGTCTGCTGCGGTGATCTCCACGTATACCATGTTCTTAGAGGCGGTGAAATCGATGAGTCTAAGGCCGTTGGCGTTCGTTAGCTGGTGAGCGCTGAACTTTCCTATAACCGGTCTGAATTCCTCCTCCTGGTCGAACTGAGCGTTAAGATCTCCGATGATGATTTTGACGTCATGGCTTGGGCAGCTGCGCGTAAAAAGCGTCCTTATCGGCATCGTCATTTGCTAAGTGAGGGCTGTGCACGTTGATTATGCTGACATTGATGAAACGGCCTTTGATCCTCAACTTGCACTTTCTGCTATCGATTGGCTACCACCTAATCACGCGCTTCTGCATTTCGCCCATCACGATTAAAGCTGTACCCAGCCCATGTGTATTGCCGCAGCTCTAGTAGATGGTATAACCATCCCTGTACGTATGTAACGACGATCCCTTCCAGCAAACCTCCTGCAGCGCCACGATGTCGAACTTGCGGACCCTCGATAAATCGGAAAGGATGCGGGTACTTCCCAAAAAATTGAGAGACTTGCAGTTCCATGTTCCGAATTTTCCAATCGATAGTCCGTTTCCGTTGCTTTGGTCTATGCCGATTGTTCCGGTCCGTATTTACATTGCTTGCTTCCTGTACTTTTGTTTTTTTTTACGGCTAGCTTGTAGGGCCTGCACCAACCCCCATTGTCTCGCCGGGGGACCATCGTGCACAGCACTGTTTAGAGTCCCACGCGGGCACCAGGACGTTGATCAGCCGCTCCTAACATAGAGAACAGACGCCGTTTTGAGCCGCACCTCCATGGTGAACAGGAGCTCGAAACTGCACTCTCCAGAGAGAGGAGTCTCCTCCTTCCCTGTCAGTATACGGCCAAGGTCCCTCCGGGTTTGGATACCCGATCTTCCCAATGGTTACTCGTACCCCAGCCGACACCGCAGGGAGGTAGGGATAGGACCTAGTGGGGTCTATTTTATACCTGTAGATACGCGAAGTATCAATGGTACGCATTGTTTACCAGCCATCGGTGCTTGTTGGTTTCTTGTAAATTTCGTATCCAAGCGAAGAATATGATGACAATTCCCTGAACAATGCTAGTTTACCTTCATTTTCTACCTCGTAAGTGAATTTGATATCCTTGTGAATTCTGTTGATCTCATCAAAAATGTTGTGGAAGGGCTTCCCGTTTAACTACGTTTATCGTCAACAAACCTCCACGAGCAACGATTTGGTAATAGTCCTTTCTCCTTCAGGATTGTCTCCAAGTTGGCCATGAAAAGTTCGTACAGGAGGGGGATAGGGGGTTTCCCATTGGGGCTCCTTTCGTCTGCTTGTAGAAGTTACCTCGGAAAGAGAAGTACCCAAGTAACCATAAGCATTAAGCCATAGCTCTATATTGGCACTAATTCAGCATTCCTAATGCCAAAAAGCCGTATATTAGCATTTTTAATGCATATGAGCCTCATATTAGCATTGCTAGTGCACAGAAGCATTAATAAAAATAAGCATTACAGAAAGCTTAGTATGCGCATATAGTGCAATGATTTAGTGCTTACATGCATTTAGAAAGCCTAGCATTAAAACTTTCTTGAGTGCTTATAAAGGGCTTGATTAAAGTTTAGAAGGGCTAAAAAGTTATGTGTTGATCATCAAAAATACTTTATAAAATCAAAATAACATGGACGGTCCTCAGAAGTGGAAAAAAACGTTAAAAAGTGGACATTTCAGACGAAAAGTACATGTGTATCGTAATATAAACGTTTCTGATGTTCCCAATGCTACGGAAATTGAGCAACCGAATGAACTGGGATCAGAATCAGCATTATTTGTTTGTGCGGTTCCGGAACGTCCAACAAATTCTGCAGACGAGGAGACTGATGAAGGCAATTCTCAGACAGCTTCCCTGGATAATTCCCTGACAGATTATAGTCCCGATGAAGATTCCGAAGAAGAGTGGAACCACTTGTCTGATGCATCATACGTAGAAGCTAGCCAAGAGGAACAAGCTGAACACAGCAGCCAAGCGGAAAACTTAACATCATTTTTGCGGAACTGGAGTACGCAATTCAATATATCTCAGCAAGCTTTGAAACCACTGTTACAAAAATTGAACAACTATGATCGAACGCTTCCGGAAAGTCCAAGAAGGCTTCTACGCACTCCTAGGATAAACCCAACCATTATTGATATTGAAGGCGGTCAATATTGGCATCAAGGTTTAGGTAAACTTTATAATTAAAACTATGTAAACCGTACCCAAGCAACACGGCTTGTCATAATGAAGTTGAAAATACTTTTCAATGACTGACGTATAGAATCAATAATACTTCAATTTACATCATTTAATACATTTATACAACCTAAAAAGCGCAAGACGCGGAGCTTATAAAACTAAATACTGGTCTTATAACATGTTTTAGAAACATCTTAAAACCCAGCGGCAAAAAATTAAAAAAAAAAATGAGCATGGGATTCGAACACATGTCCTTGGCGTGAAAGACTGATTACTTCCTAACTAGACCAACTCCGCTAGATAAAAGTTTAATAATAAGTATCTATCATGTTCTTACCAATGGCATGAAAATTATATTCTAGTGCAACACGCCTGCTTCGATCCGTCATAAAGAAGTTTTGTAAGCAGCAATGCGTACATTAAATTGCCAGAGTGTTATTTAAAAGTATTGTCAACTACTTATAAGACATCCTGCACCTTTTCAGTTGCTTTAATTTATGAGATGTCATAAAAGAGTGTTTTCAACTCTCTTTATAACAAACCTCCGAAAACCTCATACGAAACTGTCAATCACTGCGTGAAGTGACAGTCCGGCTCAATGGTGCTGTCAATGTCCATGTCAATCAAGAAAGCACAGAAGCTCTTCAAGAGCTTTATAAATTCAACTAAGATTGATTTTTCATACGACAAGTTTTATAGTGGTATTAAAACAGTAAGATGCACGTTTAAATAACATTTAAAGTTAAAAGCAAAAGAAAACTACTTTGCAAAATGTTGAAATCTAGGAAGTATGAAGAAAACATCTTTAAACCTCATATAAAACATGGGATGTTTTATGCATCACTTATAATACATTAATACAACAAGTCGTTCTAATTCTTTTTCAGAAAGATGTTTTGTGTGTTACTTGGGTAATATATCATTGAATTCTTTTGCAGAACATTGTCTTCGTATGTGCTTTCCGGAATTAAAAGAGCCCTTAAAAGTAAACATCAATATCAACATTGATGGACTACCGTTGTTTAAGAACGGTACCAATCAGGTTTGGCCAATATTATTCAACCTACACGAATTCGCTTCCTTAAAACCAATGATAGTTGGCATTTTCTACGGAAAAAGTAAGCCAAAGAAAGTTGAGGTGTTTTTGGCCCCATTTGTGAATGAACTCAAACCTTTGATAACATCGGGAATTGATGTGAATGGTGTAAAATTAGCGGTTAAACTTCGGGCTATAATCTGTGATTCCCCTGCCAGAGCGTTTGTAAAAGGTATTTTAAAAAAAATATTCAACTAAATTTGCGACTCAAGGACATTTTAGCTATTTAGGTGTAGTAAATTTCAATTCACATCATGGCTGCATGAAATGTTGCACTATTGGACAGCACTCAACTCTTCTACGGACCAATATTTTTCCACGAACATTTGCCCCCAAGAGAACCGATGCTGCATTTCGAAGTGGGATGTACGATGAACATTACCAAATTTACAAAACACGAGAAAATGGAAAATTGAAGAGAACACCGGTTGTTTCACCGCTACTTCAATTACCAATCGATATAGTTGAAGATGTGATTGTAGCCGATTCATTACATCTCCTTCACTTAGGGATAACGAAAAGATTAATCCTGGCGTACAAAGATGGTCATAATGGAAGTGACGAAAGTAGATGGCCAAACAGTGTCATAGAGTCAATCTGTAATATTCAGAAAACTATCAAAATGCCTATAGAAATTCATCGACAAGTGCGTGGTATAGATTGTGTTAATCATTGGAAAGCATCTGAGTATGCTTCTTTTTTACACTACATTGGAATTATTTTACTAAAACATTTTATCAGTGATGATCATTTTCAAAATTTTGCAAATCTATTCTGTGCTGTCACTATTTGTTCAAGTAGTTACTACAGACGTTTTTTACCTGTTGCTCAAAAATTGTTTGAAGAATTCATTTCGAACTATTATGTTTTCTTCAACTCCATTACGAGCAACGTTCATAATCTGGTTCATGTAGTTGAAGAAGTGACCCGATTTGGTCCACTACCTAGTATTGCTTCATATCCTTTTGAAAATCATCTATTTCAGATCAAGAAATTACTAAGATCAGGAAAACTCCCATTGCATCAAATTATAAACCGTGTTACTGAGAAGTATACCTTTAAGCCAGTTACCAGTAAGACCGCTGAAATATTTCCATTGATGAAATACGCACTCAAATCCGACCAGTCTAAATTTTCTAGTATAAGTATATCCAAAGAGTTTACATTAACCAAACAATTCTCTGATAGATGGTTTCTTACAAGGAGTAGGAGAATTGTCGCCATGGAATATGCGGATAAAAATGGAATTTACGGATCAGAAATAGTTGCATTTACTAATCTTTTTGAATATCCACTAATTTCCCCTTGCATCAATGTGTTCAAAGTAGCGAATGATTTTAAGTTCCATGGTATCAAGCAATACAAATTAGACCAAGTTTTATGTAAGTTGGTAGCAGTAGTTGTGTATGAGGAGACAGCATTTATACCATTGTTACATACTTTGCCAGCCAACGAGGAATTGTAGAATGAAATAAATCTTTGTGTAAAGCAACCTTTATCTTTGATATACGATTTTATTTAAACCAAAAACATTGATATTAAAAATCACACAGAATATAGCATTGTAATTCATCCAGGAATTTAGTAGCAACATGAAAAAAAGAAACAAAATCACTCCAAAAGATATTCTTCGACAAGAAAACCTTTGTTGTCAGAAATGTCCATTTCATCCGGTCCATCGTACTCCACCAAAGATTCTTCCTCTTCATCCTGCTTCTCTTCATCGTCATCCATGCCACAGAGAGTAGACTGATTGTCACTTCGCTTACGCCTCTTTCTCGCCACCGGAGCTCTTATTCCCTTGATTTCCCCGAAACGTTGTTTGGCGTTCCTCAAGCAACGTTTAAGGAACTTCTGGCACTCAATTAGTGGGAACGACGGATCTGAGAACATTACCGCTTTGTGGAATAAGGTAATGACCCCATCAAACTTCTGGAACGGAATCTTCGACATAGTATTTTCATCGCTGTTTTTCTTTCTACTCGTTCCGGTCCAGGAGCACTTCAGCAGAAATTCTCGTTGGAAAAAATAATCGACGATCTGCAAACAAACTGTTCCACCTTCACCAACAAATCGATCCCTACCATGTATAGTGCCAACATATTGAATAACAGCCGCAACAAACTGTTCATTGTTTGTTTTCCTCTCAAGTGACTCCAACTCCTCGAGACTTTTAATCGGATTTAACGGAGCACTCATTGTTTCGATGCGCTCGGGTTCGATTTGTTGTGACTTACGCGAGGCAATGGCTTCGAACTTCATGTTGAGTTGAGAAGCAAGGACATCCAGCTTTGCATTAATTTGCGAAAGAAGTGTAACGGATCTGTATCCAGCGAGCTTGGACTCTTCGATGTTCCTGGCATTCGTATCAACCTTTTCATGCAGCGATAGCAGTAGCTGGCGTAGGTCCGGTGTTTGATTAAACGTATCATTAACTGAACTCCGATTCAAAGGTGGTGCTCGTCCAGTACCAGAGGACTGTTGACACGTCTTTGGTTTCAACAGTGAGGAACTATCACATCCCACATCGATTTGTGTTTCACTCTCGGGTTCTGAGAGCAGTGAATCTGCCTTTTCCACTTCAACGCCTTGAATCGGAGGAGGGGACATGCGCGATGGCCCTGGCTTAGCTGCTTGGATCTGCTTGAAAAGGTCAGCAGCAGTCGTGACTTTTCTCACCTTTTTCTTGGTTCCATATTCTTCCGTGTCAGAATCCTTCTCCATAATCTTCTGCTCACGAAACGCCTAAAATTAAAACGTATCTGTTGTCACAATTTATAACAATAGTATTATTTTTATCTTACCTCAGAATAACTTGCAAATTTGGTCCGCTTTATCTTACAGCAGCAACCATCCAGGACTTTTGTGTCTGGTTTGATTTTGGGGTCCTTCTTCGCTTTTTCGAGCAAGCGATAGCCTGATGCGCCTTTAGGCCAATAGCACAAATCATTGCCGTAATAACGGGTAGCTGAATCCGTTCCAAATGACTTCCAGCCGTTCTTTATGACCCAACGCGAGGGCAAAACCGACAGAAACACGTCCTTATTTTCGAATGTCTGAACAATACAATAATTGTTGTCCGGCATTATTCCTGCAAAGAATTTATAGAGATATTTGATTGCTATTCTGATAAAATTGATTAGACACAACTCACCTGTGAATGATTAAAATCAACGAACACTTAAAAAAGCAACAAATTAAAAACAGAACGACAAAAAAACCTCCAAAAACTGTGCGCCGCTTGCCGCTGTTATTATGAATTGACAGAAACGTCAAACACCTAGTCCAGTGGGTGCTGCGATCAATGTCATTTAGAAAAGGTCTGGAAAAGTGAATGCGTTTGTGACGTCATCGGAATGGTTGCATTGATAATAACAGGAATGTGAATGTGCCTGCTGTTATATGACATCAATTTACTGCGAACGCCTAAAAGATGATTCAAATATGACTATTTTCAACTTGATCTTTGGTATCACCCGTGGTCGAGAATGCACAGGCGCCTGGAATAATGAATGATGTTGCAGGACCCCGGTTCGAGCCGTGACAAAGGTAATTTTCATTAAATAGCATTTGACTTCTCATCCCTAAACATGTTTCGCTGGAAAATAACAAACCTGATGAAATTGAACAAAGGTTTCAAATAAGTTGAGAAAAACCTATGAGTTATGGGACCTGTAGAAAGATTTCTTTTTTGTTTTCATTCAGTTTGGGTCGATGAAAATAAATTAAATTTATATAAAAATTTCTAAAAATAGAGCGCGGTAAAAAAATTTGACGTTTTATAAGATACCCTAGATCAGCATTAGTAATGCTTATTTGAGGCTGCCATCGTAGCATTTTATTAGCCCGCTATTTCGCCTTTTTAGCTTTATATCAGCCCTTTATAAGTATATACTGCATGATAAGCATTTAATCACTGTTTTATATGTGAATATAGTGCTAAATTAGAGCATTGTTCTAATGCTTACTGGTTACTTGGGTAGTTCTCTTCCATACAAAACCCTAGTAGCACACTTGTCACAAATCGGTTGTGGCAACTTCTATACAACTTATATCAGTAATAAACAAGTTGCTGCAACTGATTGTGAAGGAAATGTGCTTCTCGGGAGGCGGGTCAGCTTAAGGTACATCCAAACCTTGTTTCTCCATGCTGCATCCTCTCGTTGTGTTAATAGCCAGTCCTCCAAATGGTTGATCGCTTCCTTGACCGGTACACTGGAAAAAAGAGCTGTGACGTCAAAAGATACCATTATCTCGTCCTCGTTGATGTCTCCTGAAGATTGTAGTTGCTGGGCGAACTCCTGGGTGATACTAACTGCTTTACTCTGGAACTGACTCGGCATACTCTGGAACTCTGTGACTAGCCACTTCGATAGTTTGTGGGTGGGGGAACCAACTGCAGACACGATCTCTCGCATTTTCTTCCCCCGTTTGTGGACTTTGGGGAGACCTTTGATCCTGAGTAGAATGGGATTGTATTCCCGTAAACGACCTGCTCCATCTCCTAATATTGATTTGCACTCCTTCAGTGCTTTCTCCACGCGTTTCACTAGGTTCAGTAAGGGGTCTACTCGAAACTATCTATACGGTCCGTTGTTAATCTTCGTTGTCATTTGATTGTCATTTGGTTGTCGTCCTTGTCGATGATAACGACCGCGTTGCTCTTGTCTGCTTTCCTTTTCAGCTCCATTACAATCCGAATTTCATTTTCGTTGGTGCGACTTTGTTCCTGTCCGTCCTTGATTATGTTCGATGTGATAGTCCAGACCGTATTATGTGATGATGTTGGAAGTGTCTTGGTAATCGCTGTCCTTACGTCAATGATGATCCTAGCCCCTTGTTGAGGTGTGTCAATTATTCTTCCGTGAATGCGGTCGTCGATCGGTTGACAACCAACCCATCAATAGAGTGAACACTCGGCGTCGTGGCGATGGTGGATGGGATCTGCTCACCCGTTCGGTGTGTCGTCCGCCTCCGTTGAGACCCGTGTTGTAGTCTGTTTAGCTTCCTATCGTGCAGCTTCCGTTTCCTATCCGATTCACACTTCCCTTCTACCTTGGCCCTAGACAGAAACTCCTGGCATTTAATTGGATACTCCTTGGCCAATTTGAGATGTAGAGAATAACATTCCAAAGTCTTCATGTCCAGTTTGCTATATAGTCGTTTGATGCTATCCTTGATGAACTCTGCTTCCATCCTCTTTACTACGCTGAATGGGGTGGGTGTCCGTACCTTAATTCTGTGGCTTATAGGTATAACCTTATATTTTTGGCATTTCTTCAGAAATGGTACGTCCTATTGATGCGATGCGATGGTTATCTTCAATCCGATGAATTTATTTGGCTCTGACGACTTGTAGATTCGACGTAGGATTACGTGCTCGATATCAATATTCGGCGACTTTGTTAGCGAAACCACTTTTTCTTATCACGGAACGCCTCGTTTTCTGATGACAAAATTTCGCATTTTCGTGCTCAAAACGCACGGAATTTTTGGTCTAGTCAATAGATAATAGAAAAAGCAAAAATTGATTGGAGGAATTTCTTGCTAAAATATTCCAATCGCTAGATATTCGCGATCAATTATATAAATTTGTGGTTTACCTTAATTCGAAGTGATTCTGGTTAATTGACAAGGTCATGTCGTATTCGGTCATTGCGAGAATTTGTATATACCACTTCAATACTGTTACGCATTTGACCATAAACTTTTGGTTGCTGGGTACATTATCAAAGAGCTTTGAGGGTGATGTGGCTGGCAGCAAGAACGTTCTATGAAAATTAACTCTTAAACAACAATAATTCATGGTGATCCCGAAAAGGACCGTTTTGTCGTGATGGTTGAGTAATGCTAAGCTATTAGGGTGTTCAACACGGATAAGGCTGGCAAGCTGTATGATGTTTAGAACGAGGATGACGCGCTTGGCATAGATGACCCACAGCGGCAACGACGAGCAACTGAATCCGATCAGTAGCGGTGCGGCTTCTTCTTCTCCTCGCTATGATTGAATAAACACCGTTTGGCGAGACCATGTAGAAATCTATGTT